CAGATCTTTTCATAACTAATTATATATATTTAATCATCTGACCAATTATATCATTTTTTTCTCGGGGAGTGATTAACAATTCATTAACTCCGTTAATTTTTGTATTCTTATATTAAACGATTTCTTTTTTGCATCTTGAGATTCTTGTTTATCGCTTTATTAGGTTTTATTGCATAATTAATATATTTTAGTAATAATTTACTAATTATTTACGTGCACTCTAAGATTGATTAGTTAAATTGATTAACATTGATATTTTTAATGCAACTAATTTATATATATGGGGGGTTGGACATTTTTTTTATTCATCATTTTATGCAGCATTACTTAACTTTTCTTTGCATATTCGTCAATCTTTTAAAATAATTATAAATTAATATTATAAAGGTTTTTTGAGATAGTGTGATCATTTCTGCGTTTGAGAGAAAAACCATTTTCAAAGCTTTATATTTTTGTAAATATTTTCTAAAACATCGTTACGTTTACGTTATCGAGGACGACATTGCTTAATCTTCCGTAGTGATTATATCTTTATCATTGCAATGCGACTGCTGATTAGTTTCTTGTTGACGAACCTCCTCAGCGTTAGGACTATCATCCTGATCGCTGTCCGAAGATGAGCTGTCCTGCGGCATCTCTATACCGTGCGTCAGCATGTTCGTTATCCTTTCGACATCAACAGTGTCGTCCTGTTCGTGAATCTTTTTCAGAGCGTTTGACACTATGCAAAGATCGCCTCGCAGCTCGCTGACTACCGCTGTAATCTTCTGGGCATCAGTCAGCACTTCTACCGACTGGGTGTACGGATTGTAGCGTATCCCGAACGGTCGTTGAATTTGATTAGCAAATCCACTGCGACATAAATAATAATTATTAAATCACATTATTAATATTTGAAGAAGAAAAGAACTTTTGAATAAAAGTTGGTAAAACTAAAATGCAAAATAATCACCGCATCTTCTCTTTTGCTTCCTCTATGCTGTCCGTATAATAATATGCATTCTGGAACGCGGTGATGATGCATTCCTGCTTGCACGTGATGTCCGGTTCGAATCTCATGGTTTTCTCGGGCGCGGACACCGCGTGCCTCAATTCCGCCACCGACGAGAGCAAGCCGGCCCCATAAACGCGAAACATACCATCTTGTTTGCATAACCCGAATTCTACCGTGAAGAAGTATAGCTGGAAAAAATAGAAGTCGTGCAATAAAAAAGTTTTTATTAGAATTAAAGCAGAAGAAAACATTTTTTTATTTGAAAGCTTACAGTCGCCAATTTGTCTATGTCTTCGTCTGATGCACCGAGAGAAGCCAGACCAAGTTCTTGAGAGAATTGCGCGAAGCTCGTGTTGGCGAGTAGCGGCATGTGGCCCAGCAGTTCATGGCAACAATCTCTGTAAATTGAATATTGCTAACTACTGGTCATCGATATAATATGAGGAAACTATAGGTAGAAATTGTATTTTATCACCAATATTTATGTATTTGCAATACTTCTTTTATACATAACGTGTTATTTGCACATAATATAGAATTACATTTTTTTTTATAAAATATGCTATAGACTCACGGTTCCGGCGTGTAAAATGGATCGGAAGAATGTCGAATATATTGGGTGCAGTGGAATACGCGAAATGCAAGCCCGGAGAGGAAGTCCCGCGGCGTGAGATAACCTGCGACCGGACGAAGCTGAAATCCCGTCGTTCCTGTGGATATCGATTTTCATAAAAATGCGTTATTACTTCATTACGATAGAATAATTATACAATGATTTTACACTCACGTTTGAGAAAAACATTCACGTCCTGCAGTTGCGGTATATTGTTCTCTCTAAGGCAACGTTAAAATATAAATTATTTTAGCATATGTACAAAATACTTTTTGTAAATCAATACTTGTTTATTTTTTAATGAGAATCACGTATAACTGAAATTTAAGTTAAATTATACCTGTATCCACAGTATTTAACCAACTTTGGCCAATTTTCCAGGTATTCTTTGCACGCGTATTTTTGATAGAGTTGATGTAGTTCGCGAAAAACAGTTCCCCTAAGGCAAAAGTTGTTATTTAATAATTCTGTATTGCGTAACAGATTAAATTTTTTAAAATCTTAAACAATTAAATTATATTATTTTAAATTTTATTTTGTACATTTAATTTGTTTTGATGTATATTGAACGTTTGAATACTTATTAATTGTTTTTAAACAACAAATTGATCGTTATCAGATCATTCAAATGTTTGACTTCCGCCGAAAAGCTACCATCTTAATTAAGTTTATCGAACTTGCGATGTTTGTTTCGTACATCGCTGCATTTGAGTCAGAGAGATTGCATTAGCCGAGCTGCTTCACGATCTTCTTGCATTGAGGATAAATCAAATTGACGCAATTAAGGGTGCATTCAGCGTGTGCCAATCTTACTTCAATTCGCGCGCTGCGAAGAAACGCATGAAACGAAAGAGGGAAACAGGCTTTCTCGTTGCGAATTGGCGAAGGATGAAAGCAGAGAAGAGATATCGAGCAAGTATATAACTTAAGTATCGAGAAATAGAAACGATTTCTTCTATCTTTATCAATTGCCTTCATGCGCGCAGAAACACGTTCGCCGTTTTATTCGTAATATAACAAGAAAAAGTTGTACTCTCTATTTCGAACAATGATACCTATTAATTCACAATTCATGATATATCATAAATAACTTTTGAAACTTTTACAATAAAAGGAACACTTTTGTTAATTCTCTCAAATTTTAATTAGAAAAATTTGGTTGAGAATATTATTTGATAATATTGTTGTGCAAAATTAAATTACGAAAAATTCTTTATTGTAGTAGTTCATTAATAATATATGTAGAAGTAAAATATTACATTCGCGAATGTTATAAAACGAGACGATTAGATCGAGCGAGGCATCGGCGTTTTAAAATATTAACCGATATAAGTCAATACAATAAGTTAATAAGTTAAAACAATTGACAATAATAGCCTCTCAATGCGAAAGAGGGACGAGCTAAGTCATTTAGCGAAAACACGAAGCTGATCGCCGAAACGAGCTATGAGGCCAGAGTACTCGTTCGTTCGTCGGCTAACGCACTTGTATTTTATTCTCTCAAATATACTTACACTTTTCCCGACAGTGCCGCTATCAATTACTGATCCCTACATATATGATGATTAAATATATGTTTAATTACGACCATTGTGTACTCATACAAAAATACAACTGTCAAATAATGCAAATAACACATTTTCACATTTAAAAGATAAATCTATAATTTTCTAGATTAAAGAGAAATTGCAAGATTTTGAGAGATTAATAAGAAATTTTTGTAATTCATACAACAAATATTTGAATTTTTCTGATAACTTTAAGTGTTTATTGTATAAAATGTAGCTATCATATTTGAATTAATAATTGATTGATTAATAAGGCCCTAATAACTTTATTCTCTATTGTTATTAATTTTGTGAATAATATAATTTTTATACAAGAGAACATACCAAGTCTTGATTTCTTCCGGCGTGTATTGCACTCTCGGTATCGGTTGACCACTAAAATGTTAAATGTTGTTAATAATTATTGAAGAGCATAATCGCGCAATTGTATGATCTAACTTACTATTTATAATTATAGGCGATTTCGGCAAACTCTTCGCGACGTTTGCGATATACGGGATCTTTGAAGCCCTGTGATTTGCCGAATAATTTTGTTAGAATAAAGACGTGAACAAATACAAAGAGAAGTTGTAATATCATTGCATGCATGAAATCATGCTACAAACGTACGGGATGATCCGCATCCAGTTCCGATCCGTACATGAGAACTTTCTGCGCTCGATCGAGATCCGATATTTTGCGTGGGAACCAAGGCATATCTACTTCACTGAAATCTATAAGATCGAAATTCTGTTGCATCTTGCTTACCACACGATAAGATATTCCATTAAGGAAAGTCTCGATGGAAACAGTAGAAGTATATAATTCGATAAAATTTCATCAGATTTTTAAATTTAGCCTTCGGCAAAAGGATGGCACGCTTTTAATAAACTGGTAATCAAAATTATTCTATCTGACAATGATTCTACTAGAATATTCAATAAATTATTAAATAATTGTAAAGCAATTAAATATTTCATTAAAAATTCGGTACTTTAGTATTTAATTAATTATTAAATTATTTGATAATTTTTATTTACTCTTGACAAATTAAGTTTAACAGTATTCTGTTGTAAAGCTTTTATTGATATTTACACACGTGAAGACTCACCGAAACTTGCCGCGGCTGAAAGGGAAGGTGCGTGTGGTATATTTCCAATTTGCTCATAATGAGCAAGATTGATAGCTGCTACTTCGCGGCTCAGCAGCTTCATTAATTGTTCCATCCGCTTCGAATCGCACTCGACGTCTACGAGGATATCGTATTCGGAACCGCGGCGCTGGGACTTTCTTGATTCGATGTGCACGACATTTATACCTAAATCCTTTGCGCGACAAGAATATCTTTTCTCAGTAATTTTAAAATGTAAAATTTGAGAATTAATTTTTTCCGTTGTATTAGTTGTTGCAAATTTATATTTTTATAATTATAAATTGGAATTCGCTTTTTGAAATTTACAACTAAACTTTACAGCACTTGTGCATTTTTTCATTATCTGCTCATTGATCACTTGTTTAGGTTTTCTAAATTATTTGAAAATTTGAAAAGAGAATAACACAATTTTAAGATAATTTGAAGCATACGCAGAAAATGAAGAATACGCAGATAATACCTGAAATACTTGAAGTGCTCGTGCCAAGCCACCAATTTGATTTTTCAAAGAAAATATCACAGAATTCTTATTATCGTTGACTTGATGATGGGTTTCATCCACAGGAATCTGAACGAACAAAAGAACACTTATTTATTAATTTGTTTGTTTTATTAATTTTTAACTTTGTTGTTTATTGCAAATTTAATTTTACTATTATCTTTGTAAAGTTTAAACTTTTAAAAATATTTGACTAAAAAAAATTATAAAATAAATGGCTTAACTAAATAAAAAGGAAAATGTATTTGTTAAAAAGTAACAAAAAAAAAAAACTAAGTTTAATATCTATAATTATTATTTATAATTAAACGATGAACGACAATTTCCGAATCTATAAGATTAATTAATATTACATTTATTTTATATACTAGATATTTTCTAATTTTATTTAAAGTCTATAAAATAATCAGAAATAATTGCTAAAAATTAAAATTAACTTTTAAACTGTTTTAAAGAATAATTTTGCGTTTTGCGAAGACACCATTTGAGAAGATAATTTTAATTAAAATCACCGAAAGACGTCAATCAAGATGTTAATTTATATTAAATAACAAAAGTTATTGTATTTTTATCTGTTTTGCTTCTCAAATATCTACGGTAACATACATCGCGCGATTTGTGCAGAGGACTTCCTTCTTTGACAGCCCAACTCTCGCCTCTCCTGTACAACCACACTCCAAGGAGGCTCTTTCCTGACCCACTCATGATAAATATTACGACAAAAAGATTTGTAAAACAGCGCAAAAAAATTCTTTGGTTAATAATTTTATTTATTAGCAGAATGTGTATTTCTTGATATCTTGCACGACGTACGGACAGATTTGTAACCGATTGACAATTCAATGTCTTGAAGAACACGAGCAACAGTGTGCTGGTACTATCCTTGCTAGGTCCTCTTAAGACCTCGGTCTCCCCATCCGTGCGCATCCTTCTCAATGACGATCTCGCCGTGATTGGGCGGCGCACGGCGGTACCAGTGATTTCCATTGGTCGGATAAAACTTTTCATGGGGTTGAAGACGAGTGTTGGCTCACCCCCGTTCAACAGCAAGTGGTTCTCGAATATATTCCTTGTGAATGACGTCACTGAATAATGCGCGTACTGATAACAAGAAGTATGCACAAAAATTGCAAACTCTTCAATAAATGGGAAATACGGACAATTCACCGTTTATTTATTTTTGTAGATAATTTTTATTCAAGGAAAACAATTTTTATTCAAAAGAATCTATTTTTTTTGCTTAAAAAAAAGAAAGAGATAGAAAAAGAAGAGATATATCTTAATTTTTTTATATTAATTTAACGCGGAAGAAATTAATATCAGAAATATAAACAATTATTTCTTACAATTTTACATTGTTTATTATAATTTTTTTACTTTAAAAAATTTGTTTAATTTTTTTAATTATTTTATAAATTATTTTTACGTGCTTTATTGTAAATTATTGCAAAAATTGCAAAAGTCATGCTAAATATCTTATTTAAATCAATTATCAATGTAGCATTGATGATTTCACAATTTTACGACATAATTAAAGTTACCGTGGCGTGGTGCATAATTTTTTACATTAAAAAATTCAAGCAGTATAAAATTATACGTACTAAGAGCACAAATATTTAACGTTAAAATGAAGATACGCTCATCTGAAGAAGCGACTTCCTATTCGAAAGAAAAAGTTTTTTCGATGGCGATTTCTCATTCCTCATTCCGTTGCAAAACAAAGAAAATGTTTAATAAAAGCTCGAGCGTCGGAGGAGGTTTCCCACCTCCGCGAAAAGTAGATGCAGCACATTACCAGTGTCCATCACTTACCACTATCAGTTGCCGCATCGTAATTCCACCCTCGCTAAATTATACCGAGTGTTTCCCCGACATTAAGCGAGATTGAAAGTATCGCTCGATTCCCGACGAATATACTTTCACACACTTTATCGGAATGCATTTGAGGACAACAAGATCCCTGTGATATCTCTCGGAGAGAATTCTCGATTAATTGCGGACAAATAAATTAATTATTTATCATTATATATATATCAATTTAATTTATTCTTAATTTTTTTTACCATATTGTCGATTATAATTAAAAATTTTCAAACTTAGTAATTTAATCTTACACAAAATATAGTATTTAAGAAATTCAGAGCTAATTGGGTTTTCTTGAAATTGTAAAGTCAGCATACGTAATATAATCATGTGTCACTCGCATTAGTAGATCTATCCTTTCATTTTCTGAGTGACGTGAGATATCCGTTTCCGCCGCGATACACCGGCAAAGTTAAGAGAGCGCAGTAGTTATCCGTGATGATATGCCGACGCAAGAGACTTCAAGATAGGACAAACGAATTTAGCTTCTGTTTTCTACCCTGCAAAGACCACTAGGTCAGACACAGTCGATACCGTTGAATTCTTCGTCTTTGTTTGAATTTTTATACGAACTTACACTAACGAAGTTCTTCTCCGTCGCGTAATAAAACCGTGTTTAATTACTACACTTTGGAACGCCGATTTCTTTTTTTTAATATTTATGGTCTTTGAGCAATTATGCATTCATACAAATGTATAATTATATTCATTTTCACATTATTATTCACATTTTCTTTTGTTTGAAATTCTGTTTACATGATATAAATATATTTATAATAATTTTTTTATAGAACAGATATAATTATTTTTTATTTTTATTAAACAGACTATAAATGTTTTATATTACATTTTTTATATGTATTCTATACTTAACTCAGTTTTATTACGCTGTCTTTTAACATCAGCAGAGTCGCCTGTTGCTTCGCTTTCGCGAGAGATGCGTTCTTCTTTAAAGCTTTCTAAACACTTTCAAGTAAATCGGCTAAAATTTTTTAATCGATCAAAACGACTACGCAAAAAGTCTTCGTAAAGAAGAAAACGATTCATTGGCAAACAAAAAAATCCTTTCTGAGCGTCTTCTCAGCACGAAAAGGATGACCAAGGGGGTGATTCAAGAGACCGAGGTGGATATGAAAAAGAATTACGAGAGAACGCAGAATGAAAAATGTTTCTCAACTGTAGTTGTGAACAGATTTTCGCGAAATACGTGGTGCAACTTGATTTTGGCGGTGTATCAACAAATATTTATGATCACCAAAATGTTATGATAAAATAACGTCCGTTATGCTATTATAAAATTGCATACAATAATAAAAATATGAAAATGCTAAATAAAAGTTCCAATAATTAGTTAAAGAACGAATGACATTACACGCTAAGTAAGTAAATCTATAAAATTATAAAAAATGGATTGTATGCAAATAAATGGGTTACGTACATAAAACGTAAATTGATTTCAATATATAAGAAAATGAGTGTTTTTTCGCTCATAATCAATTCATAATATTTTCATAGACACGTGTCACATGAAGTTTCACAACATGTTTTTCGATGACGCAGCATCACAACAGATAAATCTTTACTGTTACAGCACGAGTGTATGAGTGTAAAGGTTCGATTACGGAACAGCTGAGAAATATTTAACCATTTCGGAATTTTATATTGCAGCTCCGCGTCATCCCTCGCCGCGAATTCCAAAGCACTCCGGGAGATACGAGTGTAAACTCCCAAGAGTTTATATACCACGCTGATAAATATTTCATTGTGCGGTATATATATCGACTCGCAGCGCGTTAGATGCGGAAATGTTCGAGTAGAATGTCCTATTCTGGTCTGCATTTTTTGCGAAGCGCATGTAGTCGTCCTACAGTTGCCGCAATACTTTTTATAAAAGTTATTTTTGTATTCACAAAAAATCGATGTTCCCAATTTGAAAAAAAGAGTTTGCACAATATTTGTTTTTCTGCAAAATTTTAATATGTTTGGTAACATTAGAGATAAAAGTCGAAAAAATACTAAATATACATTAATTTCGTAAAAACAATTTTATTTTAAAAATAGAACACTGCTCATTAATTAATTATAATAATTGTGTAATTTGTCGGATGGAAACATTGTGTTCGATATTATTGAGGCCGCTGCGTTTAGCGCTAAATGCGGAACGTGAATATGCAACCAAACATTCACCCTAGAGCGTAACTCTCGTTTCACTTTTCTCCTCTCTTCCTTCTTTGATCGTGAAGCAACCCCTGTCCACCCTCACGAACGAGCAGGCGCGCGGCGTTCACCACGCAGGAATCAATAGGGGTTGCGCGTCGCGTTTGTGCGGCGTCGAGACGGTATCGGCGATGCCATCAGCGACATCTTCTCACCTCGTACATTTTCTGGGGGTCGACGAGCAGCTCTTCTCCAGGCCACCACGGCCGCCCTCGGGACCGACCCCTGCCCTGTGCCCTGCATCTTGCTCATCCCGCAAACGCGACGTGAACGATGGCCGACAGCGAATTTGAGGAATTCCGGCAGTACTTTGAGAGGCTGCCCCAGCACCTGAAAGCGCCGCTCTCTAACTACACGTGAGTACCCACTGCGACGACCTGCCTTCGGAACAGATGACACATGATATGATGAGAATCGCGACTGTGACATCGTTCGCGACGATAGAGGCAACGGTCGGGAATTAAAGAAAGAAGCTCATTTAAAGGAAAAGTCAAAGGCGCGAAGCCTTTCGATCGATATAACAATTTGGTACAAGCCTAAGTATAACAATGCTGTACTCGCAAATATTGTCATCAAGTAGCCTTCGTGAAATGTACAAAGTGGTAAAATGTAGGTTTGAACATAAATAGCGTTGATGAGATTAAAGATTGATGGTCTGCGTCGCTGGTGCACAGAAATATCAGTAACATCTCCATTAGTTTAGATAATTTTGTGAAGATGATTGAAAATGTAGACAAAATTTAATTTAATAAACCATGATTTATCCGAATGCTTTATGCGTATGTGTAATGATTAGAGAATATGCATAATAATTGCGGAACGTTGCATTCTCGAAATATCAATTATTCTATGACACGTCTAAGAGTATACGTAAAACTATTTGTTTAGATTGAATTAAAAAAATTAAATATATTTTTTAAAACTGTTTGTTTCTTGACATAAGTTTATCAAGAAGCTTCTCGTTTCCTTCAATAAATTTTATCAGTCTTATTTATATTTATATTTGCGCAATCCGCTTACAGTAACATCATGAGAATTTCCTATATAATTCATAGTTGTTCCAGACAACATTGTTGTTTGACAACATATTGTTTCTTAAGTTATTAATTCTGATTACCGATTCTTATCGAAATATACAAAGTTCATTGAATAAACATAGATTTGATTTGTTGATGCATGGCCGGTCTAAAAATCACAAAATGATCGCCAAGTCGCATTGGCAACGTGCCTTTAAAATTATTGATCCTGAAGCATAAGTGACACAAGGATACGAATGCGACGTGAAAGTGCAACGCGGCGCGCATGTGACATCCTTCAAAAAGGAGTATGATATATAGCTTTCATTGATATGTACACATGTACCTATCACACTTGTACAGCATCTACTTCTATTGCTGCAAACAACCGATAATCCCATTTAGTGGGCTTTGTATTGTTACGTTGTACAGAGATTGGTATACGATATAATTGCATAACTGTGCATATAGCAATCGCTTTCATAATTGTAACACTAGCAAACATAACGTTCACACAGTCACATGTTTTGGCTACTTAATTCAACGAAGATATATTTAGATTTCAAAAATAAAAAATTTATACAAATGTTATGTTAGCACGAATATTTTGCTAATTAAAAAAAAATATTAAGAGAGAAATATAAAATGGTAATCTTTATTCTATAGAACATATGTTTTTTGCCCAGTTGTGTGAGATCAGATGCGTCATTGTCCGAAGCTGTGATTTCGTAAAAATAAAGCAAAATCAATACACAGCAGTCTCGTACCTGCAACAATTTCTGATTTAATTTTCTGTCTGACTTGCCTACATTTCGGGACAAAACAATGAAGTTTCATCATTTCATTGGTTTTTCATTCACTTGATGAAACATCCACATTTTTGTCAAATTTTTCCAAATGTAATTTTTACGATCTCTAAAAATTAAAGTTATAAAAAGTGACGAATTTTAATACAGAAATTAATAACGAATGAGGCAAATATAAAACGCACAAAAATCCAGTTTCAAAATAAACGTTCAATAAAGATTGTAAAAACAGAAAAACAGGAAATTGGAAAAACCAAAATTAAATAATGATTAATATTTAATTGTATTGACTAAAAGTAATTTAATGGTTGAGAATCAATTTTCTTTTCTTACTTCGAAAATTCAACATGTGATTAGATTAAGAAAATATGTAATTATCTATAGATATATTGGAAAAATACGCGCGTAATAGTATCAAGACACAAAATATACTTATCAAAGGCAGCGCAAATATTCTCTTTTCTCTGCAGAATTCATTCGAGATTAAATGCATACTTTTTTAACAAAAGTTTCAATATCACAACGCTGTTAAACTACTTCTTTACATATGGAATCATGCTCTTTCATATGAATCTTTGCATATTATATTCACAAGCATACAGATACTTTCAATTTTTACATCACGTTTGATTACTACAAATATAATCTATACATTTGCATATACACATAATATATAAATAGCTCTATATATAAATATGCATGCAATAAAACAAAAATAGAAGCGCGTGAAATAACATGACAAAAGCTCCAAACTTTGACATGTGATTTACAGATGACAAATCGATCATAAGATTTCATGATTTAACTTTTTTCGCGTAGTTGTAAAACGACTTACTATTAAATACATTTTACTTATTTTTCAATTTGCTATTTTTATGTATTTAACAAATCAGGCTCGTGCATGATGTGATGATCGATGATTCGCCCACATCCTCGCAAGGAAGCGACGGAGAAGTCGGCAGGTCCTGCGACGCCGTCACCGGCGATTCCGAAGATGAAGAAGTAGTCGTTATACACCGGCACGATAATCAAAGCGGACACACCACCCCCGATGACAGTGAAGAATTGGATCATCACTGCTCGATTATAGCTGACAGCGATTTTAGGTTGGTAACGTCGTAAGTGTTTACTTATTTATTGTATGGTATCGTTGTATACTGTTTGCATTTTTTTTTGTATGGTCTCCAACGATAAAATTGTTTATTTTATCGATACTGACTTGGACAAAATGCTTGCAGCTCTTAAAATATTATATTTTTATAGAAAGTACAAAGATTCGAGAGAAGAAATATGAAAAAGAGAAATATTATCTGCAAATTTGAAGCAATATTGCGGGAGAAAAAAAGAACGATTTATTATAATAAAAAGTAATTCACATTCTGACTGAGAGAAAGATTTGTATCCTTTGCAAGAATGCAAACTAAATTCGTTTTACAGAATATCTTTGTGATAAGCAGTCAGAATTGTGTTGTAACTTTTAACATCGTAGTTTACTCCACGTTCCGTTTATGTTACATTTTTTCTGATGCAATTATATTTTATTTATTTTATTCGACCATCACATCAATAGCAATCGACAGTAACACCGCAATCTCATAACTCTGACCTTGTTAAAAATAATTTAAGCTTCCAGAAATACTCTCGAGAATTTGCGATGCATAGTGACACTCATAATTATTAATTAAATGTCGTCCTACGGCTGAAAATTCTGATGCATGCAGATGATGCAGCAATATAACACTTTCCGAACTTGGGTTTACATTTCTCAAGCATCCCAAGCATGTGCGTGGGCTTTTTCTCTCCTTCCGTATCTATTTCTGCACCATTGATCCTTTGCAATTCAGCACCCTACATTTCACGTTGCATACGTAATTAGCGAGAAAATTTTGTTTTTAAGCTATGCCGCAATTATTTTACGGATTTTTGTAAATGTAATGCATTATATATTTGTAAAGTGTATTATCTTTGTATTACTGAAAATATCACGTGACACTCTGTCTCATGAAAATAATATTCTAAAATTAGATATTTGTTTTTCACGAAGTGCAAGGTAAAGAAACAACTAATGTGGGAGTTGAAGATTTGCAATTTTATTTTTAACTGTCTTCTCTTAATTTAGATTGGTTTGAAAGGGTTAAAGCGTCTATCTCAATATATCAAAATTATTTATAGTCTTGCGACGGTAATATTTTTAACTCTTGATTGATGTGGTTCCAACTGTTGCACGACGATATAAATTTTTTCGCTACATTATTGAAGAGCGGAATTTACTTTCTATTTTAATTTTCTCCCCGAAGAGAATTAAAACAGGCAGCATGGTGAACGATAGTTTAGCTCACTATAAAACTACCCTTGGATGACATTAGCTTGTTCGGTGGACTGAGCAGCAGGGGTCGATCGGTAGGCGGCGGCGGACCAGGACCGGGCGGGGGTGGCATTACGGTATCCGGCAACGGAGGTCGGGACAGCGTTGTTAGCGACGTCGGCGATTCGTGTTCCAGTTTGAACTCCTGGCCTACGCCAGAGCATGTACCGGCGAATCGACCCGGGAGCGGCGGTACTGAGCGCAGACGTCGGAGATTGCCGGAAATTCCGAAAAACAAGAAATGTAAGCAAAACTCCGCGTAAATAAATAATGTATTAAGTAATGAGAGATCTGCCAAAGCAGTATTTTTTTCGCACTCATATCAATCTCATTTTTAATCTTACATTTTTCTCGAACTATAGTAACTGTGTAGTAATTGTTGAAGAGAAGACAAAATGAAAACTTTTACACGGATAAAGATCCCCTATATATTGTTGAATATTGTTGAAAATCTTCTATCTATAGTATCAAATAGGTATAGAGCATCCGATAGACGTCAGCTGTATCATTTTCGCCCGCCACTTGTCACCGCGTCATACATATATGTATCGCGTACATAGATCAATGAAACCAAGAAACCGACCACGTCGTCGACCACAGCGTAAGAAAATCCAGATGTATACTTGCATCGCACCAGTTTTATAAAGGGCACACATCGTGTATCAGTGCTTTCCATTATGTTACAATGAATCTATCGTTTCACAAATTTGGACATATTTACCTAAATATTATCTCGCAAAAAGTGGAAAAAACATTTAATTTCTAGTGCGTTTCATATTTAAAATTTTGACATAATAAAACAAATCAAAAGCAACCTTGAACAAAAATATTAAAGGAGATCTAAATTCTTTCTTTATTTTTCTAAAAATGATTCAATCACACTTATAACAAGATTTCAGTAAATTAATATAAGTTTTAGTGCATGTGTTTTCTAGTTATTATTAAAATTATAAAATTCAATACAATTCAAAATAATATACGAATGAAATATATAACGTGATTATAATTAAATTATGTGTTTGAGTTAATTTAAAAACTTCTAAATTTTACTTTTGCTGTCTCAGCTAAAATTGACTTTGACTTACACGTTAAGTTTGCGTACTCTCCAAGATGAAAAAGAATATTTCAGATGAAATGGCCATTGATGTCTTCTGATGTTGTTTTAGCTCTGCCCATGTGTCAGACGTCCATGCAGACGTCGTCCTCGTTGGCAGATGAGTTGAGTGCCGCCACCGGTTCGACATCGGCCCGGCCTCATCTTGTCTTAAGGAAATATCATCCCAGACTCCGCCATGAAGACAGTTCACCCGACAGTGAAAGGATGGCTACCGATAGCGGCCATTCCACCGCTCATTCCCCCGATAACGGTCCCAAAAGTGTATCGCCTATACCTTGCAATACTCTGCAGAACACGGATTCAGCGTCGCCCAGCAGTACTCCAGGTAACAATAGCATCTAAATGATTGTCACTTTTGAGAATCAGGGCCGCATTTATACTTTTGCGCAATATCATTATGAGATCTCAAAAGAACAAGTTAACTGAATAACTATTTCAGTTAATCAAATTCATACGCATTTTTTTTTAATTTATTGAAAATAAAAGTCGACATGCATTACATGATGCAAAAAGGTGAAATTTAATAAACATTTATCGCTTACAAATTTTTCAGCGGCCTCTAGTTTTTATATTATGAATTTAATATTTAAAAGTATTTTATTTTGCAACTATAACTAGGCTGTTTTTTATATTATCATTTGTGAGGAGTAAGGTTTTAAAATGAGGCTCCAGCTTGCGCCTAATGCGCCTTATGGTATAAATGCGGCCGTGTTGAGAATAATTTATGTTTATATATTAATTTAAATTTTATTAATTATAAGATATAATTTAATTATAGTATAAGAAAACTATTCAAAAAAACCTACAATACTTTCACAATGTACTCCGCAATTTTACGTTTCCAATTATCTGTAAAGTTATTTAATATGTACAAAGTTGTTTTCTGAAAGTTCTATTGTCTTAGTTCGAAAAAGTTTGAAAAGTCAGGAATTGCTGTTTATGTTTTAAACTATTTCCAAACAAATCAAAATAACTTGGAGAATCAATACTAGCTCGTTTTTTATTTCAAAGGAAGCGGAGGCGTTCCGTTTACCCAACTGGAATTGCTCGAGGCGACGCATCGAGGTCTGCATAAGTTCATACCGCGGCATCATGACGAAATTGATCTTGAAATCGGAGACCCTATATACGTGCAAAAGGAGGCTGATGACCTCTGGTGTGAAGGTGCGCAGGCATATTAATTTCAATCTTCAAGATATCGAACTTGTCTGAGTCACAGCAATAATCAGTATACTCTTCCTTCACTTATCAAATGAAACGAAATCGACTCTTTCAGATTTCTAACGGTGATTGTAAGGTTTCATATATGCAATATATGCGTATATTAAATAGATAGTTAAACTATGATTTGTTTCGTTGATAATTTGCGATAACAAAAAACTTCAAATTAATACTCAATTAACATAAAATTTAGTTGCAGCTATGTTAGAAGATTTAATTAATTATCCTTTTGCTTGAATATAGATGTGCAATAAATTTCAGTGCTAAGTAATTCAGTAATTAGAGTTCTAAGTTTGGAAATTTAAAAATTATGCGAGAATGGAGATAATAGTAAATATTTAGATATATGAAAATGTATAAAACGCGCTATATATAATATTAATAAAATTTCTTCTTTTCTCCGCGATTAGGCGTGAATTTGAGGACAGGCCGGCAAGGTATTTTTCCGTCTGCTTACGCAGTCGACATGGAATACAGCGATTTCGATCCCACCGCGCCCAAGGTGAAGAGAGAAAGATATCTTCTGGGTTACCTGGGCTCGGTGGAAACCCTGGCGCACAAGGGTACAGGAGTGGTTTGCCAGGCGGTACGAAGGATCCTTCGCAACTCCTCGCAGGATCCGCCTATTTCGCAGAGCTGCATTCTGGAGGTGTCCGATCAGGGTCTTCGAATGGTGGATAGAAGTAAACCACGGGTAAGTCATTATACAAGCTACTTAGTTTAATCCACAGAAAACATCATGCGTCTTCAATATGGCTTTTGCAGAAGAGTCAGGGTCCCTGTCACGACTATTTCTACTCGTTGAAGAACGTATCGTTTTGCGCGTTTCACCCTCGCGATCATCGCTACCTCGGCTTCATCACGAAGCACCCAACTCTGCAGAGGTTCGCTTGTCACGTGTTCATCGGTCAGGATTCTACGAGACCCGTCGCCGAAGCTGTCGGGTGAGCACTTGAAATCCTTTCATTATCACAAAGCTTGATCGATGCTATTGTATATTATATTATTTTATTATTATATTTAAAAATTAGATTTTTTCCAAAGTTGACAGAGTACTTTATAGCTTGAATACTTTTGAAATATCTTAGAAATTCTATGAAACAAAAAAGAGAAACTTTGCGATGATTTATTGTTCACAAATCAGGAGGGATAATTCGAAACTCTTTTCAGACGCGCTTTTCATCGGTTCTACACGAAATTCATCGAGACTGCTTTCCCGATAGAAGATATCTACATTGAATAAATTGCTCTCGGCCTGACGTATAGCGGCTGCGGACAAAATAATCTCACTTCCCCCTGTCCCCTGTACATATTGCCCGCTAGTTGTAGATATAAAGAAATACTAAACGCGAATCAAACACCCAATTTATACATATATTGAACATATGTATATCTATGTGTACTAAGCGTTTTTGAGAAGCGTCACGACGGGCTCAATCCTCCGTTCATTCTCTCGTCATCATTCTTTTTTCCATTTGTCGTTTATCATTGTTTTTGTTTTAAGTAAACGAAAAATGGCTAACAAAATTATTTAGATTTTTTATCACAGGCATCGTGTAAAATTAAAAATATACGGAAATGTTATTCGTATAACAGAAATATTAGCGAGAATATCGACGAGAATTTTTCTTTCTAGATGTAAAAATTTATTGCTAGAGTGTTTTCCGTTAACGAAGAGACGGCAGAATAAAATGAATATAAAATAGACTGAGTAGGTCTGCAGAGAAGAGAAATACTGACGTTTTAATGCTTAACGAGAATTGATCTGTTTTCAAAATTGATAAGTTTGATTTCTGCAATATTTTCACAGTTGAAAACAGCGATTTTTGCGACTTATTTTAATCGTTTAGCAGCTAGTGTTCCTGATAGAGAACATTTAATGCTAATTTTATTGTAACTCCGCTATTTTCTTTTATATATTTGTTAAAAGAAGAATCTATATTGATTTTTTAAATGATAAAGATATGTATATTAATATTACAATAGATATATTGATAAAGTATAAATAGACTTTTTTAAAAATCTAAATCGCATAAAAGCGGTCTTAATCGAAAGTGACCATGAAAAAATAAGAAGCTGGCTAATTTTAAGTCGGAAAATAGTGAAAATTTGAAAATTAGGCAATTAAACATCACGACCCAGCTATAAAATATCACAACATTTTTAGACTTCGTTCTTTTAAGATTTAAGAATAGAACGTGCATTAGTTAATTAACGATCTTCTAACAAGCAGATTTTAATAATCGATAGTGATATCGAATTAATTCCTACAACCCTGATCTTACGACCAAGTTAATCTGCTTAGTGACGTATAGAAGAAAAGAACGACAATAGCGTTGGATCATATGGAGTTTAATGAAAGAGAAGAATCGTAGCCGAGATTGGGCGATTAAAAAAAAAGTGACGCTTATAACTTTCATGTTCGCGAGAGAAATAATCCGCGCATAATCGAATGTGCTTTTCGCTGACGACAGTCTTCATCGTAGCAACGAACAGTCGTCTAGAACAATCTCCAATTGTGCTGTTCTCATTGTTAGATGACGGCGGTCTGTATCTGCGCGCCGTTATTAGAAACTCGTATATTTTTCTATCTTTTTTTTGCGTCAGAGTGTCACTGATTATAAGTTTCATTATTACGACGATAAGGCTTAAAGTTTATACTCTTGAATCTCCGACCTCGATGCGACCCTGCGAAAGACGACACTATCGAAACGCACATTGGCCTCTGTATTCGAAATGTTATTGCGCCGCATTGCAATGTTTCACCAAACGCTTATACAGTATGAACCAAATTGCAAGTACGTACTTCGTAATAAATTATAATAAAAAAAAAAAAAATTAGAAAAATGGTACCGCTTACGTGCAATCGACGTGAGTAATTATTATCAATAATATTGACAGCATTATCGATACGTATTCGTTCGATCGTATTCGATCGATATTTATTCAGTTCGCTATTTTACACTGCCTTTATCAGAACGTTTCATATGCAAAGTGCGTGTACAGTGTCCTAATTCGACAAATTGCATCTGTTGATCTTGAACTTCTAATCTCGAGGTGCAATCGATAAACAATTAAATTAAAAATTGTTTTTAAATCACTGACCACTTCAATAAGTTAACAAGATATGTATAGAACAAACAATATTTTTCATTTGTGAAAACTTAATTATTTAAAAACTTGCAGATTTAATGTCGAGGTATATAACGCAAGTAACATTTCGCAAGTAACATTAATAGAAGATTAAAAGCTTTTTGATAGACGATTTGATAGACGATTTCACCGTAACATCTCGCGATTTCCTAATTGAATACCTTCTGTACACGCAAGAATCTTGTCAATTTATAGACATTTCCTCGATAATACGAGCTCTGTGCGTTGTTTTACTTGGGATTTGGTGCATGTTAAATAAGTACGACTCTCATGCCTGAATTATACGGTATATTGAATAAAAATTGAGAGACAAATTACAATGATTACTCATTTTAGGAGATTCTCATCTAAATCGCGGTATGCAAAACGTTTACACGTGCCTTTAATTGGAATCGCCTCGAAATACCGTGCCTTTTCGATTATTTTTCTCATGCAATTACAGTGTCACCATGGCGTACAAATCCATAATTCTGTCGACACAGTCATCCTTCTCGAAAATTTCTTTAAGACATATCATCAAATAGAATAAAAAAAGGTGCGTGGTGCAAATGAGCGTTTTCATTGCATTTATATCCGCCATTTCCTCGCCCGTTAATCAATTAGATCCGATAGCTGTTACATGAACACTCTTCAAAGAAATATTGACTAAATTCTTCAATCGTCTCGTAATAGAAGTCTGAATCAATTTAAGAAGTCGACAATTGTATGACTGTATCTGATGTGACAAAATCTTTACAATTTTACGTTTGTAAATCGATCGGTTCCGCAATTATTTTGCATGTCTGTTAATTTAATAAAAACACATCTAATATTAGCATTGTGGAATGCAGTACGTTTCTTCCAATACCAGATAGATTATAAGCAAAGATGAGGAATATGAAAAGAAAGATTAAATAATGTAAATCAAACAATGACACTTCCACAATATTCATATAATTTCTACATATATTTCCTTCCAGGCAGTGTTATTTACAAAAATGTTCCATCTTCTACGAAGTCTTAATAATTCAGTCTTGACACAATAACTATACATATGTGTGCACGATCCTCCTCCATCATTATATTTCTTTATTATTGACAATTATAAATTTTTTCCTTTTTTTTTATATATATGCTCGTATATTTTTTTCGTTATATATTCAGAAATAGCCGAATTCATGCAAACTATGGATTGATTTATTAATTTTCATCACCCATCAAAAGCGAAAATCTATCCAATTAAAAGAAATTTTTTTTAATGCTTTTCTGGCTGAGTTTTATTATGCCTCGCGCTATCATTAACTCCTATGCCTGATAAATAACTGCACTGTCTTAAACGACCTGCCTGTAAACATTTTTATAAATCTCTGCACAATTTTTTTGACCGTTCACAATGTATGCGTATCTTCCTTATAATTATTTTACAGTTTCTTGGTGAGACTTATCCACCTTTAACATAAAAAAAAATAGGAAATGTAGCTGTTTTTAAAAATATTCATTCTTTAAAAATCGATTTTGAATATGTTAAGTCTTGGTTTGCGTTGGCATTATATCACAACATTAAAATAAAAGATGCCATTTTTAATTTGCAGTTATAATTATGTCATAAGTCCGACATGAGATATAATATTGTTAAAAATATTCATATATTCAAAATGTGTAAAAAAAGCTGCGTAAAGAGTGAAGAAAAAGCCATAAAATAATTTGGTGGAAGATTTCTCACCAGAATGCTCGAGAATGCGACTTACATCGACGCGTTCATCTTAATAATTCTATCAGGGAATTTACATAGGTAACAGATAGCGAACGTCTTAACAGATAGCGAAAAACACTGGGATTATACATTAGAAAATTTTCTACAAACATTTCCGCTTGTACAGTTATCGGCCGACTGAGACTTGTCCAAAAACAATTCACGTGCTCATATATGGATCGTTCCGAGTTTCGTTCAATGATAAAATAATGGAAATATTTTTATAACGCACGCATGAGCAAACTGGTAGAAGGTAAGTATAAACTATCCTTTCTCTTTATTCTATTATATATGTTATACGAAAAACGCGATTCTTTCACTGTGCACGCAATGTTTAACGAGCCATATACGTCATCGTGAGAATTTAGAATTAGACCCCTCGTCACACAGTATACTTAGTACAAGTCATTAAAATTTGGAATATTTGGAATATAATACAAAACTGATTTCTATAATCGGGCGAATGATTGAAACTTACTTATACATTGTGCACGCATATTCTGTTTCGATACGTTATACAAGTTTTGCTGCAAAAATTACTAATACAAATTAAAGAGATAAAAAAAACACGTTTGACTCTCGATGTAGTGTATAAGACTGCTAAATGAGGGGACACTGCTCGTCCCAAGCAAGAATCTTTAAAATTCTTGTGTTAAAAAAAACAACAAAATAGTAATATAAATTGAATTATACAATCTGATCTTACAAAGATCTAAGTGGCACTGACGCGTATGTGCCATACATTCTGTATTTAATGTGTATATGTAGAGGCATACAAAAAGAATATACACAACCACACTTAATCGCCTTTGCCTTTGTTCCTTATAGAAAGAAATTGGAAAGCCATTTATGTGTAATCAGCAGAGTATAAAATATAATAAGGTAGTATTTACAGTGGTATATATAAAGTTAAAGTTTATCCTTAGTGTATAATAAACTGTAGAGCCGTCTGTCTGTGTTGCATTAGTATCCACTCATTTCCAATATTTATAAAGCACCCGTTTATTATATATATATATATGTATATATTTCTTAGTTACCTTAAGACAAAGGAGTTTACCAAGATCTTTTTCTGTACTCTGTTACGAGAATACTTTTTAACGCATAACTGTAATTAAAAACAAGTATTTCATCTTTGCGCATAATTATGCACATATTCATTCTATTTAAAATATTGCAATAACTAATTCGTTGTGCAAAAATGAATAAATATTTATATTATTACAATCCCCAATGTGCCGTATAAATCGTGATTACGCTAGACTATTTTTTTTCATAATTTTTCGTCGATAACAGTATTATATTTTTTTTTGTAAATATCAGGATTTGTAAAAATGATTCAAATAGCAATAAAAATTGATGTTGAGAAAAAATGATCTTCGTATGCTTCTGTTTTTCTCTTTAAACAATTTCGTCGCTATTATTCTTTGTTCGCACGCAATTGAAATCTTCAAATACTGTTTTGAACGTTCCATTCTGTCTAATGACAACTAAGACGACGTACATCACCATTGTAAAATATTGATACCAATCATTATAAGTATGACTGCTGATAACGTGAAAAGATAGGTTGAGAGAGAAAGAGAAGGAGATGAGATGTACATCGAACACAGACAGTTTAGACTTGTTCTTTGTACTATAAGATCGCGAGGAAATTTGGGCATCAAGTGCGATGATTAGCTGACTTGATGCCCGCTTTACGCGCGATCGTCGATTATGCGACGTTGGTTTCATACATACAAGTTAATTAAATATTCCTTTATTTTCAGCGGCATAAAAAACGTAGATTCTTATCAATGATCGGCACGTGAGGATAGTCAAGTCTTTCCACTATTAAAGACAAACAATGAGAACGGAGAAAGAGATTATCTTTCACAATTTTACAATTCCGACATTGCACTTATGTAACTATTGTTATTATAGAGGCCTTTATCGTTCAACAATCTTGACTTCCTCACTTGACATCAATGTGACATTAAAAACGAGTCAACGACAATTTTTTTACAACTTTTGAATATAATGTGTGTGTGTGTATGCATGTATGTATATATACATATATATCGTTTTTCGTCATCATCAAAAGTTGAAATTTAAAAAATAAAAATTTTTTAAAAACTGTTTGAACCGATCGATCGTCTAAAATTTCCGGGTACTAATTATTAATGCGTTGGCCTAGCAAATCAGTGAGGCGGGTTCGACAGTTACACAAAAATAGAAATAAATCTACGATCGCTGTCTCTCAGCTAGGCTGGCAACCAGCGAGCAGTATTCTTGCCTTAAAAAAGCCTTAACTTAGCCGTTCGGAGCCGGTGTTAAAACTTGTAAGTTTCAGATGCTTTGAGCATCTGCGAGAGGATGCGGTAAGATGGCGACAAACTGTTATAGATAGATGGATTAAGTTGATAAAAAAAATCGTTTGTTTTAGTTCAGATTGTTTTCATCTCGATATAATTAGATAGAAAAAGAATAAATTTTTCTTCTCATCAACTCAATACCAAAAACATGAAAATTTTACAATAGCACATGGCTGCAAGTAACAGATATACATTCAAGATGCTTGATTAGTAATTATTGTTTAAAAGAAAGAGAAAAAATTGTCAACTTGAGAAACATCATGTTTAA